AAACTACAGACTGTCTATGTCATGGTGAATACAGTTGCTCCTTTATTTATGTCTGTATGACGTTGTTGTTAGTGTGGACGGAGCCTGATGGATCCGATTCCATTCAGAAAACACACATTTTAAAAGCTTTTCGCCTGCCGTCTTGTCTGCAGACTTGTCAAAGCATTAATTCATGGTTTTTACTAACCGGTATCAGTATGTTGCTACTTCGGCATCACTTTGAAACGTGTATTACAATTAAATCACGGTAAAATAGGTTCATTTTGTTGTAGTTGGTATCTCCCATAGGATTTACATGGAGATACGCCCCGCCCCCTCTCCAGCGCGTCTTGTTTGAATGACAGGAGCAAACACAGCTGACAGCCGTGGTGAAACTCGAGCGATTAGAGCGATGCGACTATTGGGTAGTCTACCATAGTATTTACCTGGAGATAAGCCCCTTAAAAACCATGAATTAATAAAGCATTCATTATGTGTTTTCTCCTGTCATTCAAACAAGACGCTGGAGAGGGGGCGGGGGCGATCGATCAGGCTAAACTAACCTGTCGCTGCTCCGTCTACACTCACAACAACGTCATACAGACATAAATAAAGCAGTCATTTCTTGACTGGCAGCAAAAACAACCAATCACAGCAGTGTTTCTCTGGCTGGCTCTGTCCAATCACAAACAAGAAGTGTTCTCCCTAAAGGAATACCCTTTCCGTCCAATGTGAAATGCTGCGGCGTTTTGTGAAATGCTGTGGTGTTTTGTGAAATGCTGTTGTGTTTTCTGAAATGCTGTAGTGTCTTGCACTTCAGGGCCACCGTACATTTGTCTTGTAGTAAATAAAAAGGGCGACCTGGAGCCAATCCTGCAATTTCCCCACAGGTGAAAGAGTTGACATGCTGAAAACCCTACCCCTGCAAGGGGGTCTGGGGGGATTCTCCCCCACGTATTGCTGTAGCCTACCCCAGCCATACCCTGGCGCCGCCACTGGTTATAGCTGTTGATGTCTCTGTCTCAGTCTGCAGCTCAACCCCTGTCACAGCTGCGGTGGAAATCCCTCTAGTGACTTGAAATATTTAAAATGTTAAAAGTTAGACCATCACATTTACCAATTTTATCTACCCCTGGAACTAACTAAACTATTTATAAATGTTTATTATTTACTGTCGTGTCGGGTCACTCATTCACTGGATCAGCGAGCTGCATGAGACGCAGACGGGCGGAGAGGGAGAGTAAGGCCCAATCCCAAACCATTCCCTCGACCCTACCCCTCCGTGACGGAGTGAACTCCGTCTGTAGCCACACTCGCAGCTCAACGAGGCTCCCTCCTGTCAGATGGAGGGAGTAAATACAGCGGCAAGCTTTGGGACGGCCTCCCCTCTCTCCGGCAGAAACAGGAAATGCCGTAACTGTATGTAACAACGGTTTCAAATCAGCATCTCTTAGACAAAACATTTAAATTAATAACTCAAATAAAACTCCAAACATATTTCATTGTGTTATTTTTTTGTAAAGCTCTTTTAGTTTTAAACCTGATGTTAAGCTTCTGAGTTTTTGCAACAGTCTGTAAATATACACAACTTTATAATAAAATGCACACATTTACCTTTTCTAGACTAAACACAGGTATGATCCTAAGTTAAAACATATGAGGTTATCATGAGGTTGTTAACATCGCAGTTTAGTGGATGTTTGCTGGAACTACTTGTAAACAGCTTGTTTCCTGACGGACACACACAGCGTGACTCCGGTCAGGTAGAGACCGGTCTCAAGTCAGCACCGCTGCAGACTCGCTGTTTGAGGGCTTGATAGCCCACTCCCCCTCCACACCGCTCCACACTCGTTGGTTTGGAACAGCACTTAAAGTCCTTATCTTGCGTAATTTACTGTAGCTGAAAGATCATAGAACTGTTTCAAAATGCATTAACTTGTTGGGTCTTATTCCAGTAACACGTGATATAGATCGAATNCTTTTGTAGCAAGCAGCAAAATAATATATAACATAACGTGTTTAAGTAAATTTGCCTACTTAATATCGCAAGTCATAAAAAAAAATTGTTTAATCACGTTGTGAATATTGTGCATGCGCATATCGCGATTATCGTCACGACACGATATATCGTGCAGCCCTATCAGTAATCATACTATAGTTACTAACATTGCGCGAAAAAATTACTAGATTCTCCCTTTGACAGACTAGACTAGTTGTACGTTATTCAGAANTTTATAAGTGGGGAGTGGACCAGTCACCCTCTAGGGGGGTCTGGGGGCATGCTCCCCCGGGAAGATTTTTTTTAAATATTGAAGTTACAGTAGATGCATGATGCATCTACTGTAACTTCAATATTTAAAAAAAATCTTCCCGGGGGAGCATGCCCCCAGACCCCCCTAGAGGGTGACTGGTCCACTCCCCACTTATAAAAATAGCACTTTACCACTACCCCCCTTCTAATCTCAGATGCACCCTGAGTCATTTTGTTTAAGTACAGTGAGCCTTTCTAAAATATAAAGTAAAGAGACAAACACACCAGCATTATAGGATATACTATATGACTTTGAGCCAAATACTTGTTTTTGGGCTGTTTAAATAAATTTACTTGAAACAGTTGCTGATGTAGAGTACTGGCACCTTTTTTATTCCAATTCAAGCACTGCATAAAACTAATAAAAGGGGGAGTAATCGGGCAGTTCGGTGTGTGTGTAGAGGTGTGTGTGGTTAAAACGTAACAGGCTGTGGTCACTCTTTATAGCTGTTCAATGAAGGTAAACACAGAAGGCGGTGCGTAAAAGCTCTTTGAGCGCTGGTGCTGCTCTTCTCTGAGTTACACGTCCCGCTGCCTCCTGGAGTGACCCATACACCCCTTGGCCGAAATGTCCTTAAAGTGAAGTCTGAGTACGAAATATATCTCAAATAATGCACTGTCATTTCCCCACGTAAACATAACAGTCTGCAATGAAATGGTTGTGTCCTGNTC